TCGTGGCGTATTTACTCGAACTTCGTGCAGCAGTGCCTCCTCGTGGAAGCTTTAACCTTAACCGTTTTAAAAGTTTTTATTTATGAATTAATTTCCATTTCTAAGAGTCTGTATACTTTTTGCTCGATCGTCTCTTAAATACTTCCCAAAATCAACGGATCCTGAGTTCAGGTGCCGAGTTTAGTAAACTAAAAAGTCATCGATCATTACCAAATAAGGCGATGAGAGAAACGTTTTCGAGGTCGGAGGAAAATTCAGCGTCGCGGCTGCTGAACCTCTCTGCCAGACGCCTGGTCTGCCGCATTACCGTTCCGACTACGACGCAGACCACACGGCGCGTCACGTTTTTGCGTTAGCCTATAGTTGAAAGGTGCATTCTCGTCGGATGCATCACGGCCAGAATGAATGACAACGGACGACAAGCCCAGGCGAATTTCGCTGACCGTCTTCGTCGTCCGAAAAGGCATTCATTATCGAAGCATGGCGATCACGTCAGAGCCTGGCTGGCTGTTGGTCCATCGACCACACAGCCTGCAGCAAGGATCAGCTATGACAGTTGTTTCTTGCGTCTTCGATGACAAAAGAAGTTCCAAGGGGATTTAGGCTGCGGTTCGTAAAGCTTGTTTGCCTTAAAATCGGATTCATTGTTGATGTTTGTTTCTTGTGACGTCATCTTTGGCCATTTGCCTTCGCTGAGCGTATGTGGCTTATGAGTTAAGCTCATTTTGCCATGAGGCATTCGTATGGCATGAGAAAAGGGAAATTGTCTCTCAGCAGGTCGGTCTTCCGTTGTTTGTGTCATTTTGTGTATTGTTTGCGTTTGTTGAGAACATCAGCTCGACCCGTTTGCAAGAGCAACACGTCGCTGGTTTGCGACGCCCTCCGATCCGCTGTTTTACAACATTTTTCCTACAAGACATTGGTTAATTCTTCGCAAAAATACTGTTCCTTTGCGAAAGCAAATCTGACTCACCCTTGTTCCTCTATGGTTCATGCTTGCCGCTTGATGGACGTGTTTCAGCCCACACCAGAAGCTTGCGTGGTTGGTTATGAACTGTGTATGCTCAACCAGTTTGTCTAACAGGGCCATCTTCATTTTGTTATTCCTCACATGTACTCAGGTCATTCGTACCCGGAAGTGAATACAATCATTCATTAAATAGACCTGTCATTTGAACGTCACTCTGCGCCTACAGCACCTTGTTCAGCTGCCGTTCCTGCTTCTTCGTTAGAACAGCTGTCTACATGCCGTACAATAACAGTGACTTGTCAGAGGCAACGGGTAGGCGGATTTCGTTGGAATTGTAACTGCTTTCTTAACCCAAATATTGGACGAGTTTTCAAAAACCATCGAGGCAAGGGCGATCCTAGTATTTAACTCTGACTGGATACTGCTGGAGATGGTAGAGTTATTTTCTTGAAGCCCTTCACCCCTCTGTTCCACTGGT